TTTCATATTGTCACAAAGCTCAAACTATTTTGTATAAATGTCTTTCTTGCCAGGTTCTCTTGTTGGTCAAAGTTACAGAAACAACTATCATTTTAATTACATATTCCTGAAAGGATGTGGCACTGAGCAAATATGCATATATGAAACATTGCTTAGTATGAAATGGTTTTAAGATTAGAGATCTTATGATGCTGTTTGATCTCAATACAAGCAAAAATGCTAATTCAACAATATTTAAAGGCTTACATTTCAAAATGTTATGGTATTCTGGGACTGGAACGGAACGCATCATAAATCAGGCACAATATTTTTCCATGAAAATACATTACCTGAGACTATGAAAATGAAATTGGACACAGATTTCTTTTTAAGACATGGACTTACCCTTTCAGACAGCATTCTACTAAAGTGGACTCAAAGACTAGGATAAAGATACCACATCCACCCCCGCCATATAGTGATCAGTTGCACACTGCCAGAAAACAAACACATCATTGAAACGAATGAAAGGAGATGGAGATTTGCATTCACATATATAAAGTTATGCAGATAGACAGCAGTTTAGAAACAGTATAATTTAAATAGAAATTCAATTCATTTAATCGAATAGGAAGACTATAAGCAAGAGACCTGTCTACTATTCATTTTATTCATGTAAATGGATGCCTGCATAGGGTGGGGGCAATAAGGCAAATTATGACCAATTGGTGTGACTGATATACTTGTATCAGACATCAAGAAGCAAGTATATAGTGGTGGCATTTGCATCATCATGTTAATATCGTTATGGCATTATCGCAGTTAACTGTGGTTGCTGCTTGCTGAAATTTACTGGACTTAACTATTAATGGGCATCCTCTGCTCTTTTTTCTTAGTTTTTTTCATGTTTAAAATTGACTAGGACTTCAACAAGAATAATTACGAGGATATGATCTGTATGAAGAAAGTAAAAATTGATTTCACTTACACTTCCAACATAGAAATGAATTCCAGATAAGCAATCTATGAACATTGGAAGGAGTCTTACATGTTTCTCCATGCTTTCAGAACTTGCTGGTTCTTTTGTGTAAATTAGGATGGTATAGTTGTTATCTGCAGTTAAAAAGCATGTGTGTAGAGGAAGGTGCTTAAGCATCCTGTTATTTCTTTCTGCATGTCTCTAGTTTTTCTTTCTTTTTTCTTTCACCCAAACATAGGTTCTTATTTCTGTTTGTGATGAAAATATGGGCATGGGAAGAAAAGTAATTCACAGGAAGGAGTCCAGGGGGAAAATCTGTGGAGTGTAGGATAATTAAGCACATATTAATATTGTAAACAGATTTTGTCACTGTGTGATATAGTCATTTTCATAGAAGAAACAACAGCTTGTGTCTAAAGATATAGATTTAAGAAAAACTGTAAGTTCAGAGATAGACAATATTACTCAGTTGAGGGCATCCTGATATTTTAGGGCATGTCACGAGAGTACTCAAAAAATGGTTGCTATGAGGATAAGGTACAATGTACACTTTATTTAGAAGATTAACTAACTCCCACTCACAGGATGTTCTTTACCATGGTAGTGGGAAGGTAGTTTGGCCCAAAGGCATTTCTGCAACTATATGTGAAACTGGAAATTGATCCTTTGCTTTGTGATTTGACAACTTCCTGGGGAGAGCCATGTTGCTTACTCTTGATATAGTTCTATCCCAGATCAAGGTGAAGAAATAATTGGGGGGAAAAGAGGAAACAATGAGCACTAGGAAGAAAATTTCAATGTGTAAGTTGGTATACTCAATGGGAATGTTCTAGTTTTCTTGATTGCACTCTTATCTTAGTATTGAGGAGTAAGCCTTTCATTGCAAAAAGACAAAGTAGGATATGTATACTGCTCCTAGTTAGGGACCTCTTTGTGTCTATTAGCTACAAAGAGACAGCTGCTTGCTGCTTCCATAATTTGGATAATACTGTTTTGTTCATTGTTGGCTGAATAACTACCCTCCTTTATTCTAATCTTATAGTGTAGATTCTGTTTCAGTGATCCATAGTATCAATGCAATGGGAATATATAACTCCCTGAGCCCCGCATGTACCTGCCTTCTTCACCACAGAACTGTGCTGTGTCTTTATCCCCAGGAAGTAGCAAGAGATACATAGAGGGATCGGTGCATTTCTGCCCAAAGCCAGTGTCTAGATGTGAATATATCCAACATGCTTGGCAGGAAGAACATTGGGGAAAGTTCTTCCAAAGCAGCATGACCTTGAGGAGAGCCGAAATAAAAGCTAGCCAGAAATTTTGTCTGCCCCAAGGAACTTTGAGACACACACCTCCTCTTGGAAACTTTAGCTTTGAGCATGGGCAACATTTTCCTCTTAAGCAATAAAATGTTACACAATTTATTCAGTACAGCAGTCAACCCATACATTTGCATCCAGTGTTAATTTTAGCTTTCCCAAATATTGAAAGAAGAGGATTTCAACACTAGAGTGGACTGTCTTGTGAAACATTTGTTTCAGGCTTCAAATGCCCATGTACTTCAGGTCCAAATGCTGAGAAGTCCAAACTCAGCAGACAGACCATTTGGCAAGGCATGACCATATGAGCCAACGAGAGGTCCTTCTGGAATTACAGAAGACCTTTTACACAATGTGTTGTGCTAAGAAAATAGAAAAAGTTTCTTCCTTCTGCTCCCTGTGCCATTTTTATTACCATGTACATAACAAAAATACAGTCTACTCTCTGCTACTGTAATATATCTCATGTTATACACATTTTACTATCCAATAAAAACTTGTAGGCTCCAGTATACAGAAGTGGTCATGATAACCTTTTCAGAATTTAAGATATGCACCTAGCGGCCTGTCATCTGAATCTAAGAATATAATAAATTAATGTCATGTGTTTGCAGAATCTCTATATATCATTGTTCATCAGTGTGTCAGTTTCTTCAAAATGACAACCTTCCAGATTCTGTCCACCCAGATCCAAACTGACAACTTGTGGTTTTAATCTTGTGGTTGCTAATAATAGTATGATTATGTTCGTAAACTTACATTAATATTTTAAGGAGACTCTCGTTCAGGTGTCACTTGGCCCATTTTACACCATCCCTTTCAACATGCCTTTGTCAGAATCAGTGGAATTAATGTAAAAGCCAGGATTTAGCTTAATCTGTCATCTTCTAGTATTTGTTTGTCAAGTTTGGGCTGAAGTCTCTTTAAGGCTTTTGTGCATAAACCTTTTGCGATAGCCCAGTCTGACTTGCTCCTTGAATTACTCACTCATGCTGAAGAAGATTGACTTCTCACCCACTAACCTTTCACCCACTGAAGCCACTTGCCCTCTGCTTGAATGTAGGAAGTTGAGCCACTTTAGTCTCAGTCTGTTTTGAGATTTAAATAAATGTGGTTTTGTTCAGCTAAAACTTTCTCTGGTGACATGGCAAAACTGTGCATTTTTTGTTTTCATGCATGACAAGTATTGTTATGCTCAACATTTGGCTTTACTTATATGTAATAAATTGAAGGTATTTCTTTAACCTTATAAACAAAATAGAAGATACAACATAGCAAGCTAGAATATACTGTTTGGTTCTCCCTGTGAGCTTCAGTCAAGCATTAGTTGATATGGATTTGGATAGACAGAAATTGCTGCTCTACGAAATGGAAGACATTCAATTTCCAGGCTTCTTGTTTTAGGCCTTGAAGAAGGAATTGTACCAAGTCTGTTCATTTTGGTTTGGCATGAACAAACCACAGGGAAGATTAAACCACAGCATGTAGCCCATATGCATCCAAAATGCTATTTTTGCCCCTCTGGAGGGGAGATAAAAGCTAGGGCAAAAGGTGGAGAGTTTGGTTTCCTGCTAAAAACCGGCAGTGTGATTTGTCACCAAAAATCAACACAATGTATAATTTTTCAAACTTTTAAATTGTGTGCTGCTTTGGAAATGTCAACATCTTCTTTGGGAGATGGGATTTAGAATTGTCATGGCATCACCAATTTTAAGGTAGTGAGCAGTCCTTACTAAATAAACATTTGCCAAATAAGGACTGGAAGAAGGTGCTTGGAAATAACAGGGCATAAAGCTCTTAAACCATTAAGCCTGGCCTTGTGTTCCGATAAAAATGATACCTTTTGTTTGGGCCAAAAGGATGTATTTAAGGGAGAAATGCAAAGGAAATTAATATACTGTAAGTATTTAGATAGCTGGAAATTTTGCTTTGTGTATATGACTGTCTAGTTTCCCAGCTTTTAGTGCAAATTTTGGTGAGCAATTTCTTTGAGGACAATGCTTCAATATAATGTCTTTGATAACTATGATGTACAACAGGCTTTGTCAGCCTAGTGGCTTCCATGTATATTAGTTTACAACTCATTTTTTCTTCTGCCACCATGGCCAAACACTTAGGGAAGACACTGGGTTGAGGAAAACTGTTACAAGAACAACCAAAAAGTAGATTCTGGTTTGGCAGATGTCCATAGTGATTAGAACAGTGTTTTTCAAACTTGGCAACTTTAAGATGTGTTGCCTTCAGTTCCCAGAATTCTGGGAGTTGAAGTCCACACATCTTAAAATTGCCAAGTTTGAAAAACACTGGATTAGAGGGAGATTGAATGGAGACTGAGCCATCGCTAAGGATTCTGCAGCCACAACATTTTACTTTAAAAATATATTTAAAGATGAATAAATAGTTACATTTGGCTTGCAATCTTAGATAATGAACATAGTTTGAGGCTATGCTACATGTTTAATGCAACAAATGTACTTCCTGGCACACTCACTTAAATAGGTTATCTGGTGTCAGTGCTGGAGAAAATCTCTGGTGCCAGAGGGGCTAACAGCTGATGCAAATTAAGAAATCTTGTATGTGCGTAGATAGGAGTATCCAGTAAGGAGTGAGACTTGACTATGAAGGCATAGAAAAAACACACTCTGATAAACAATTTCTCCAAAGATAGAAAGTAATCCTATATTGGGAATGCAACTCTTGAAGCAGCAATACTTTTTTTCAGGCTCATGGGGGTGCCTGAAAAGGTAAGTCTCCTTTAATGAACAGTAGAGAAGTGTTGCTCTTGTATGAGGCCTGAATCACTTACTTGATCTCATTAGAGAAAGGTGCACTGCTCTACTAAATATGGTCACTCCCCATATGTTTGATTCTTTTTTTTCCCCCTACTACCTACCCCCTACCCAGAGATATTCTGGGCTCTTCTTTACTGGACATGTTCAAGCAGAAGCTAAACAGCCTTCCGTTGGGGCTACTTTAATTAGAATTCCTGCCCTGAGCAGGGGGCTTGGACTTCATAGCCTAAAGAGCACCTTCCAATTCTGTGATTCTATGTTAAAATTATACATCAGTTGCATTTTTTGGAAAGGCTATAGTGGTTGGACCCATGTCCTATATCACGTTAACCCCCAGACTCATACAGGTTTCATAACCTCCTTTCTTTTTGTGGCCGCTGGACTCTCTGACAATGCAACTGAAGTTTGATGGCAAGATTTCTTTCCATTATGAAACAAAAAACATGCAGCAACTGTAGTGTAAGCACTAATAAAGACTTAACACAAAGAAAATAAAGGAATTTTGTGATCCTCCCTAAACCTTGAAAAATCTCAATTCAATCTTCTGCACCCCTAGCATTTTCTATAATTGCCCCACTCATTGCTGTTCTTGAATTGCCCTCTGAAAAACGTCTGGGGCCCTTGGCCACTAAAAACTTGCTTGTTCTTTTCCTTGTATATCATATTTTAGAAACTCAGCCACCATTTAGTTTGCTTCAGGCAAACAACTTCTAGTACTACCAAATAAAAGATCATTTTCTAATTTTCTAAAATTAAATTCTTTCTTTTTTATAGAGAAGGAAAGCACTTCTGTGCAGCATGCACCTAACTTTTGCATTTAGTTAGATTCAAAGAATCCTTTCTCTAATGAAGATTTCCATTAAACAGAATGCTGTTTTCTAAAGGATAGAAGTAATATTTAATACTATTTTGCATTATTATATGATTTGTGTTTTAATTTTGTTCTACACTACTGAGATAATTAATCTAATGGCTGCCTTTTATTCTGTTTCAGTGGCAAATGAAATGTTGTCGATGTGATTCCAGAACCCCCCACGCATTCAACAGTCACCGGGTGGAAAATGTTCTCTCTTCTACAGGACACATGAGGTGGTGGCAATCTCAGAATGGTAAGTCTCTGACTGGGGGGGGGGGGGGAAGAGCCTGATGTGGACGTGCTGTAAAGCAGTCTTATGGTAGGAACAATGATTTGAGAGGGACAAGGGTTGTGTGGATTTAGTAAATAGGGCTTGAGTTTCAATAGATTAACTGCAAAGCGGAAATGGATGATCTAGCTTTTAGAAAAAGCTCTTTAGTTTCATAATCTTCATGTCCCACTGTTCTCATAATTGCTTTTTTTTTTTTTTTGTCTCCTCAGATGTGAATCATGTTTCTCTCCAACTAGATCTAGACAATAAATTTCAGCTTGCTAACCTCCTGTTGGACTTCAGGGTATGTACATCGCTCTCCTGTTACCTCTTGGGGAAATAAACTTTGATTCAAATGGCCTTTGCAAACCAAAGAGAATCTTGATCTCTGCTGTAATCTTAGCTAGGTTCTAGATCAATCACACTGATTAGTTCTTGTCTCTCCTTTTGTCTTGCTAAGGGTAGAGAGTAAGATTATTGAATTCTAGTCATCTGTCCTTCCCTCTCTCTCTTCAGAGTCCTTTGCCAGGTGGCATAGTGATTGAGCGTTCTATTGATTTTGGCACAACCTGGAAGATCTATCAGTACTTGTCCACGGACTGCTCTGCTTCATTTCCTTGGATCCCCAAGGGCTTTCCTCAGACCTGGCAGGATGTCCATTGCAAGGACATACAGACTCAACAAAGACCACCTCAGTATGGGGGAAAGGTATTGTAAATGCAATACTCTTTGGGCTAAGAAGACTATATTGGATTTACTGAACCCAGAGTTACAGTATGGAATATATATTTTATTGTATTGTACTGCATTAGTTTGTAATATAATATTGCATGTAATCATATACTGCCAAGTCAAATTCCAGGCAGTTTACAAGAGCCATACAATATAAACAAAGCAATAATGAAAAGCACCACTGAACCTCAGGGGGTAAACTGTTTCATAGTCTTGGTGCCACCACCCAGAAGGACTGCCTCCAAGTTCTCAGTTGATTTGTTCATTTTGAAAGCAGCCATCAGGCAGAGCTCATTCCTGCCCTATGAAGGAGATTGCCTTTCATTCAAGGGCGTAGCTGTGTGATTCCAGCCTGAGTGAGTCTCATTTCAAGGTCAAGGCCAATGAACTTTTGCATTCTTTTCATTCAGGCATAACTATGTGTCATCTCGTCTCCAATTTCCCACTCCTGACATTTCTTAGATCAGCTGGCTGAGATTTCAGATCAGAGTGATAGATTCAAGTAGGCTTCAGTTCCAACATCTCTTTCCTGGAGAAGTTACAATTTAGAAATGCACAGCAGTTCCTGACAGTATTTCTGACGTGTTGATTAACCATCACTAATCTTTATGTTATAGCTTAAATTAAGTGGTCATTTTATTTCTTTTTAAAATTTCTATGATTATATTTTAATTAATGGTGCTATATTTTGGGGGGAAGAAAGATAGATGTGTCACACAATTCATAATCAAATTGGTGAAATCACAGTATGGTAAAATCTCATTTTAGCATACTGTTTAGGGGGAGAGGATATCTGTTACTCTATTCCATTAAATAGAAAGGTACATCATTGCAATGGTTCATATAATTGGCATGACATTGTTATTATGCCATTTATGTAATTTGAGTAACCATGTTGTCTGACAGAAGTTATCTAAATTGCAGCAGTTGTTTTAAGATTAAGATAAATTTAACTGCCTAGTCTGTATTACTTTGGATGCAATGGACTTTTTCATTGTGGTGGTGGTGGGGAATGTCCAGATGGAAATTTAATCTGTAGTATCCAAAGTCCACTTAATAAGGGCCTATTAGATCAAAATTTCAAGATAATTATCTTTTGCCAGTGTGCACTATCATTTTGATTATAGTATAAAATACACTTAAAAAACCGAACGTGACATTGAGCTCATGTCCGTGTCATAATAGGTTGGAATTATTGAGCATGTCTGCTTATTAATAATTATGCATGTTAACCAATCTCTCCCAGTCAGTTCCTCCTACCTGTTCTAGTGATTAAACAAACAGTGAGCTTCCATCTGTGGTTTGTTTATGCTTATGTCCAAACTGAGATCAGTTGCTTGTTGCTCTCCTAGGAAGTCAGAACCAGAAACAAAGGTTTGTAACGCTAAAATAATCATTAAGTAAAAGCGTCTTAATTTGTTTAATGGCAAGAGGTATCAAATAGGATTGACTGGATAGTTTACACCAGCATATGTAACCAATTGCAATAAGCTGCCATTATTTAGAATTAGAGTTTATCATGAGTTGGAGCCATCTCATTGATGGCTTTTATAAAAGCAGGATAGAGGAACTCTTCCTGTGATTTTAATAGTTTTCTTCTTTTGTTGTTGTTGTAAGATTGAGTTCAACCCCGTAGACCTTGCATCTGGGATGACGACATCTCAAAGCCAACGAATTAACAGTAAGTTTGAGCTTGGTTTGGTTTCATTGCAAAAGGTGGGTTTGAGATTTACTGGAAGATTACAAGAAGCAGAACTCTATGTAGCTATGGATGGTTGCTGTTTCTTGTTTATTTTGAGGTTGCTCATGCTTTGATTCTTGTACATAGTATCTCAGATGGATGCCATTTCTCTGCCTACTTAGGGAGGGATCCCAGCTAGGTGGTAAGGCATCTCTTAATAAGTACTGAAATAAATATTGCATTTCGTATTATTGTCTAAAATAAGATGGTTAGGTACTATAAGGCTTGCCTGCATTTATCAGAATTTAATATATTATTTTTGGGGTAGAATTGTTATATTTTGTTCACACATTTGGATAACAGGATTCTGATGATGTTATGATTGAAACATGGCAACATCATGTTTTCAGATCTGCTTTATCATATTTTTGTGTCTCCCTCCCCCCCAAATGAAAATTCACTGTGACAGCCTGCAGGTGTCTATGCTTTCCTCTGAGACAGTTCTGTAGCCAATCAAGCACCCAAATAAACACTTTCTTTTAATTTTACTGATAAATAAATAGAATCTGAGTGCAGGAGAGTTAGCTAAATTTCCCATAAGAAGATTTTTCCCTGTAGGAAAACTGGGAAGAAGTATGATGGCTGACAACCCAAGTTGGACCTAGACAGTGTTGCCTATTGAAGATTTTTTTTATTGGTTTTGGTAAAGAGCAATGTTAGTGGGGTGAAACTGAGAGGACTGGGCAGTGTCCACATTCCTCTAAACAGGAAGAAAAGCCACTCCCAGCCTAAAAGAGGGAATGTCAGCCAGTATCTTAACTCTTCTCTTAACTCTAAACAGAGGTAGCTAGAATTAGAGAAGTGTACAGTACATACAAGTTAAGCTAACGTAACAGCTTGTAAACATTTTCAGTAGACAAAAAAATTATCTTTAAAATACCTTGAAGCACCATGATTCCATGGTATACCGGGGAGGGGGAGGCGGTTTGCCCGTAGTACAGACAATAAGGGGGTGTGCTGCCAAAGGCATGGGGAGGTTAGCAACAGGTGTGGAGTCGGGTTGCTGCTGACCGTGTGCCAATCTGCTGTTAGTGGTTGGTGGTGACACAGCAGCGATGGATGAAAAAAATTATACCTTCAAGTTAGTTTTAACTCCTGGTGATTGTTCCCTCCAGTTTTCTTGGCAGCATTTTTCAGAAGTGACTTCCCAGTTCCTTCTTCCTAAGACTGAGAAAAGTGACTGGCCCAAGATCACTCAGCTGGCTTTGTGGCTAAGGCAGGACTAGAACCCTAGGTTTATAGTTTGACACCTTAACCCCTACATCAAACTCTCCGCAAATGAATTGTATTAAAAAAATGATTGACAGCTAGGTACACCACTGCTGTGATTAATTTCTAAACATGCAGAGGAATGAGGGACTGAGCAATGGAATGCAATCCGCAAGTTGTAAATTATAGTTGTAAGATTAGGTTGTGAGAGCTGAAGTAAATGCTGTTTGATGTTTTAATAAAAGAGGAAAAAATGTGTCAGTATGTGGTTTGCACTGTGTCTTGCAACCAATTCTGTAAACTCACAAAAAATCTTGTGACATGCACCACCAGCTATTTGCTGCACAGCTGGTGCATAGATTGGGCCCCTTTAAGATCAGGAATGTTGCACAGATGCAGTATGATGTACTGTGATGAATGCACCAACTGCTATTTTAAACTCACACCAATACCCTTGACAATGTTTTTCTCCAAGGCCATGTTACATTGGAGCTGTGGGCATTGCAGCTACTTGCTTGGGTATACCTATGTATGTACTTATTTGTGTATGTGTGTGTATTTAACTCACACCATGTGCATGCATGCATGCACACACACATCCATACATGGCTGTTGGGACTCAATAACGACCCTATTCTTTCTCCCAAGAATTGCTTCACAAAGAAATTTACACACAACTCTCCCAGCCTGTATGGTCATGGAAAATACAGCTAAAGAACTTGAGTTTTATTTGGTACTTGTCCCAGCATCTTATGTATTTCTCCGTTTTTCATCTGAAATAGATCTGGCTGAATTCACCAACCTGAGAATCAACTTCACACAGTTGTCCCGCTTTCCACATCAAGGGTACCGCTTACCCAGTGCTTTCTATGCCTTAAATGAGATGAAGGTGCAAGGGAGCTGTTTCTGCCACGGGCATGCCGACCGCTGTGCTGCCCTTGATGCCTCTTCTGGAGAGCCCAGTGCTGTGGTGAGAGAGATGATGCAGAAACATTGCTTTGTATAACTTTCTAGCATGTCATTTGGTTCTAGTGAGTCCACTCTGCACTTTGATCTCTCAGTGACAGAATATGTTTCTACAGGTGTGCACTAATGTGTTAGAAATACTTTGTGCTTTGAAAAACAGAGAGAATTTCTTGGTATTATGGCATTATGCAGTGTCTAACTGTCAGAAGGGATGAGTTTTTGTCATCTGTTAAGACTGAGTTTCAAAAACAGATAGTCTGGCACAATGCAGGAGTTAGTCTGCTTTGAATGCATTTCTGACCATCTTAAAAGCTCCATGCCCAACAGCTTAGCTAGACTCCTGCCCTGACCTTCTGCCAGGTTTTAAATAAAAGATCAGCTGCTTACTTATATTTAAGTTATTATATATTTGAATACAGATGACTAGAAAATGATATCTGCGTGGAAGATGATTAGCTGCCTTTGTTACCCTTCAGTCAGTAGCTCTTTCTTATAATCATAGTTTATGGTTTGGAGAGATGAGGAAGAGGCAGAAGAGATGAGGAGAATTCAATTTCTGGTCCTTTCAAGTAGGAAATGCTCCAAAGAGGAGTAGAAAAGTATGCAAGTCAGGACTGGGCAAATGTTTGAGCTTACTAATGTTTGTTAGTAAGGAAAAATTAAAGGGGGATTTTGAGATCACTCCCCACTTACCTGCCCCCCCCCCCCCGTCCCTATTACTAGCTTGCAGCTGCTGCTGATACTCTGACTTTTACACTGACAAAAACCTGTGTTGTTGCGTCTTGCAGAAAAGGGAGCTTGCAACAAATTGGCAAAGATCAAAGGCAGACAGGCAAGCTGGAAAGGATATGAGTGGTTGTAGGTATTTGCAGAGGCTCCAACATTAAAAGGCCTCTAAATAATTAGTGGTTATCTTGTTCATATGCTCCTTTTTCTTCTTTTCTACCAGTTCACATTATGGCCAGGAGGACAGAAGGAACATTGGCTAGACAAGATGGTGGGCTTTTTATGGGAAGAGGCCTCAACATTAAACATTCATTTAATGGCTCTTTGAATCTGGCACCATTCTTTGTTTTTCTGGCTGGGCATGGATTAGGCTTGGTAACGATGCCTTCTAGGGCTAAATAGCTTGGCATTTCAGAGTTAAATATGAACTGAGAGAGACAGTACCTGACTTGCACAAAAAGCTCTTTGTATCAGCATAGACAGAGCTGGAAAGTAATCTTGCAAACAAGCTAAAATGGAATTTGTTTTCTGTCAAACTGGACCGAAAGAGACACAATGTGAGAAGCAACTGAGTGTGAGAAGCAACTTCAGGGGAACAGCAGCAGGAGAAGCTCCCAAGCTGTCAGAACTAAGTTTTCTTTACATTCTAGGTTCATGGGCATTGTATGTGCCAACACAACACTGCTGGACCAAACTGTGACCAATGTGCATCCTTTTACAACGACCAGCCATGGAGACCTGCTGAAGATGATAATCCTAATGAATGTCGTAGTATGTATGCCTATCCGACTTCCTAGGAAAATGTATTTATTTAATAAAGCCTTCCAAAAATATAGGTAGTATTCCTAAAAGTATTGGTGTATGTTATAATTATAGAAAACCTTGCAAGAATATCTCAGTTGTTTGACTCAGAGAATCATAAAAAGGGGAAAATAAAAAAAAAATAACTGAACATAGACATATCCTACATTTAAACCTTTCAGAATGCTGAGTTACATTAGAAGAGGCAGTGATTTTTATATACACGTTTTGAATTTGGTCTTTTTTCATATTGATGGATATTTTATTGTTTTTTCTTTTTTAAGTTTTAGTGTTGATTTTTACATTGTTTTATTTTTCCTTGTCATGCTGCCTTGGTTTCTTAACAGGAAAGTGTGTATGTTTGCATGTATGTGTATATGTGTATGTGCATATGCTGGCTGGGGAATTCTGGGAGTTGAAGTCTACACATTTTAAAGTTGCCAAGTTTGAAAAACACTGGGCTAACAGAACATCTCTTTGCTATTCATTAAACATTTTTCTGGCATTTTTCTGGCATCTATGGCAGACTGAAAAAATAAAGGTGCTGTTGCTTTAAAGAAGATGGCAGTATCTTTAAGGAGTGAACTCCTCAAAACAGTGGTGCCTTTTCTTCAGGCTCTTGTACATGCCTGAAAAAATATCAGTCAGTGTTAGTGGAGCGATACTGTGCTCATGCTGGCGTTAGGTCTGAAGCACTTCTGAATTACTTTCAAAGCATGCACGGCACCTGCTATCTTTCCACTGAGAAACCAAGACAATATGCCAAGCTAAGTTTAGCTTTCCACCATGTTCTGTATCAGTGGTTCCCAACCTTTTGTTTTATGCCTACTATGACATCATCATTGAAAGTTTTTGCAGACCTCTGTGGAAGCCAAGTGTTGGTAATGTGGTGCTTACAGTTGCCATGATATCTCTGATCCCCCAAGATGATGTCTGCCCAATATTCAGATTAAATATATTTAACTTTTAAAAAATGGCTGAGGTTTTGCTGGATTGCAAATCTCATGAGAATAATCAAATATCTGGAATTTTATAAGAATTTATCCATTTTAAAAATATATTCTAATTTTATTTTGGCATGCATACTATAGACCTCCTGTATTATTTGCACCAATATCCTGGGGATCACAGGATGGGAACCATTGCTCTTTCAGAATATAAAAGAAATCTATCAAAGGTGGTTTTAAAGAGGGAGATAGTGCGATCTATCAGTGTGAACTCTGTTGCAGAATGATAGTATACCATTGGGAAAAATGCATATAGAAGAAAGTATAGGTTTGGAAAAGTTCCATATAATATGGACAACTGTATTCAGAAAGCATATATTAGGAGTAGTTACATTTAACACAATATATATTTCCCCAGTGATTGTGGAAAACGAAGACCATTGGTTAGTGAAAGTTAGAGATCAGTAAAATGCGTAAGTTAATTGTGTATAAACACAAATGCAGATTATGTTCTTTAAAAAAAATCACCAAAATTGATAACATGGATTATAAAGGTATAAATGATATCTCCATTAAATTAATTTACTTTAGGTCTACTGTATTTGGGTTGCAACAGTCCAGATGACCATAAGATGGCAACAAAGTGACAGATTTCTGTGTCTGTGCTTCAGTCTTCTGGTGATCCAGATGTTTGTAGCCCAGATTTAATGATCCTGATATATAGATTTTCCTCTAATAAAGTTTTATGTACTTCTAAAATTGATAAAGACACCAAAGTGTCATCTGGTGGTGAAACTGAAAAGTTAAACACCATTTTTTTTATTGAACATCACATGAGATGTGGCTTACTTTTCCCTTCTAGGATGCAACTGTAATGGACATTCCCACAAATGTCATTTTGACCTAAGTGTATACCAAGCAAATGGGGGAATGAGTGGGGGTGTGTGTGAAGACTGCCAGCACAACACCGCAGGGAGGAACTGTGAACTTTGCCAAATAAACTTTTTTCGTAATCAACGGTATGATCTTGGCCATCCAGAGGTCTGCCTCCGTAAGTGGTGTTTAAGCCTTCTCTCAATTTCATAACATATTTTTCCCAGAACCTGTTTTATTTATGGAAACTTCAGAAAAACATGCCTACTTTCTCTCTGTTTTAAAAGTTTTTATTTAATTTATTCAAAGCAAGCAAGCAAAGGAAAGGGAAAGGAAGGAATATAAAATTCCAGGTAACTCTTGGCAAAGTCATGTTTTCTGTCAATTTAATAAACTCTGTAGAAACCTGAACACTGAAGGTTGCTGAAGATACAGTGAACTTCTGATGGGAACCCCTAGCTGCCTTCTTTCTGAAGGCAGTTCTCAGATTTTCCTGAGAAATAGGGATAGCCACTTTGGTGGCTTCATAACAGAAATGTTTTTTTTTTCCTTTTACCCCAATTCAGCTCACTCTTCAAAAAATTCTATTGCAAAACAAAATGAAGCATTCAAAAACAGCCTGGCCTGATTTGAGGGCCTGTATGCACCATTTACCATAGAGGAGAGAGGGAAACCAAATTTAGTTACCTACCGCTAACTAACTTGTGAATGCCATTTATTTATTCACATGCTGTTTCCACTCCAGCTGGTATGGACCAATTTTAAATGACTATCAGACCAGTGGTGGCTGTTCTTCTTAACAGTATCCAAGAATAGTTACAGAATGGAGTGAAAATGCAGCCGGTAGGGTGGGTGCAAATGACCAGCATTCCTGCTGACTGGCTAATTCTCCTCATTGATTCTCCAAAGATGGTAGAGGCATAGTAAAATGTCCTTCCTGTTGCCAGCCCAGCCCTGCTTTTCCTGTTGGTCTAGTGAGCTTATCTTGCCATTGCCCACCTGCCTACTCTGCTTCCTTTATTGGTTCTTTATTAAGGTTAGGAAGATACATGATGAGGAACACTACTCAGAACATCACAGCACTGCATACTGTAACATTAGTAAGTCTTCATCACTAATAAGCGGAACATCTTTTGCTCTATACCAGCTCCTTACTGTCCAGGTTTTGCCCTGCCAGGCTTGGACATCAGGCCTTGTTCCATACCAAACTTTTAAACATCCAAGAATATGCAGCTATACTTACACTTTTTTTTTTTTTTTTGTCTGCACTCAGTCATTGCTGACCCTG